ACTACGAAACTCAAAAACGGCAATGGGAAGCATATATATCGGGGAACAGGAATCTCTTTGACCCGCATGCTCATCAAAATATAGTCGTGTTGTATAGTTTGGTCTGTACAAAAACGTCTATTCCATGCGCTGGCCCCGATACTTTTGCGCTAGCATTTTACAATCAACACGAAATTGATAATAAGCTGTTTGAGGAGGATTGCACCCTTGGGCAATACGTTGAAGATTTATGCCATAGTGCAAATGCTGTTTGTGCAGCAAACGGTTGTGAGGAACGAATGTTCGAACACCATCGTCAATACGTTCACGGCGAAGCCCAAGTCAGCGTATTCGTTCAACCGTACCCGTCAAAACTACGGGGACTTCAAGACACAATTCTAATGTGGAGTTGCTGCAAGAAGTGTGGCAATGAGACGCCCGCGATGCCCATGTCGGATAGTACCTGGCGGTATTCATTTGGAAAATATCTAGAGCTTTCGTTCTCCAGCGCTGACTTGCATGCTCGAGCTGGGGTTTGCCCCCATGATCTGCATCGAGATCATCTACGGTACTTTGGGCTTAAAGATATGGCTCTACGAATACACTACGACCCCATCAACTTGCTGGAAATCATTGTTCCTCGCCCAAGAGTCACTTGGAAAGTGGATAAAGACCTGAGGGTCCGTAATGAAGTCTACCTTGCAGCGCAGAGAAGGATAAATAAATTTATGGCATCAGTCAAAGCACGACTTAAATCCATAAATGTTGAAAGTGTCATGCCCGAAATAGCACAAGCTTGCCAGCAGGAAGTTGAAGCACTTAATAAGCGCGCTAATGATGATCATCTTGCACTTATTAAGGAGCATCAAGCCCGGTACATGAACACCCGGTACTGGGAGGTTATTCCTTTGAATACCGTTATCATCTCAACACAAGAAAAGGTCGTTGAATGGGACGCAATATTTGCCGAATTCGAGCGGAACTATTTTCCATCTGAGAAGGACATCAGGCGATTGGCGACTTTACAGCTCAAGAAAATTTTCCTAGATAGAGATGTGTCTGTGACTTCCCTCACATCAAGTGAAGAATCCGGAGCGATACCAGTTGAAACAGAGGAGGGGGTTACAACTCCTTCAGGCTCGCCTCGTTTGACAAGAAGGATGACACTGTCACCACAAGAGGCGAAGCATATGTTAGCCTCGGTGGTGGAAGAACACACCACAAAGCCGATAAAGCAGATTGAAGGTGAAGAACCGAATCCTCAAACTCCCACACCAGGTGCGGACCCCCAGGAAGCAGGTGACATATCGCCAATGAAACCTATAATCGCCTCTGAAAACGAATTCCGGCATTTGGATTTGGCTATCCCATCAAATCTGGTTGAAAAGCTATCTCCTCCAAAGGCTAATACGCCTGACAACGTTGATAGCAACCACCCCGATAATTCAACAGCCAATGATACACCAAATCCCCCGGTGAACGAAGTTGAGATACCAAGTGAGCCTCGCTCGAGCGTTGATAGTAATTCAAACAGCCACGATGTCATAGAAGCCGTCAAGCGTCCTTCAGGTTTACCTCGCCCCCGTGATAGAGGGCCCTATAACTTCAAAGGAAAGTCCCCGCCCTTAATGAGAACGCTATCACAGCCAGCACATTCACGACAGCCACTTTCTAGCCCAGTATTACCCCAAGATAAACCCTTGAAACCTAGTGGAGAAAAGCCGGCTGAAATCGGTAAAGGAACCTTCACATCTAAAAGGCAGCGCTTCTCAGAGCGGCTTAGACTCGCAGGATTGAAATCACCAAAATTACCTGGCGGCCCTTCTTTAATACCCCGCTCAGTTGCAAAGAAAAGCTCTCATGTTTCTTATCTTACTCGACATTTCGAGGAATTAAGTCGAGAATTCCAAAAGGAACGAATAATGCAAAATCACCGACGTGCTGCTCAAGGAAAACAATCGCGAGCTTACCCAATGGCATCTTCCAAACCAATTGTTGAAGTATACAAAAGTGTCAGGGATGCTGTGGAGGAACGTGAGCCTGGTTATGAAGAGTTTCCTATGAGTGCGCCCACAGCGATAGTACAGAAGGAAGAGCCCGTAGCCCCAACTACAGAAATTGTTGAAGCTGCCGAACCACCAGTTGCTCGGCCGGAGACTCCTGATAAAATCATTGAGGAGCGGCGGACTTCTGATGAAAGTTTGCGTGATGGTGATCAAACGGAGCAAAACCTTTCAGGAGGAGATGGCGAAGATGAGCACAGTGATGGTGAAAAGAACTATTTGGACGATAGCCGGAATATAGAACCAAGCGATGAGGCTGCTTCACTGTCACCGGATGAAATCGCCCTAGACCTCAAGGAGCTTCCGAAACATGAGCGAACCTCCTTGGTAAAAATGCTTACTAACTTCTGGGCTGAACGTTCCGCAAGTGGCTGGGCTCCCTTGGATTATCCGCTTAGCGACTCTGACCATGTCTTTGCGGATTGCGATATTATTGTCAGGGAAGATGAGCCGAGCTCGTTGATTGCTTTTGCTTTGAACTCCGAAGATTACCAGCAAAAGCTGAAAAGTATCCAGGAACAGAACGAAGCAAGCGATTCAGTAAATGTTGATGCGGGACCCGAGGTTGAACAGTCGTTGCTTCGAAGTACCGGCACACACCTCAAATATCAATTCCAAGAGGGCCAAGCAAAGATGCTTTGCAAAGTATTTTATGCTGAGCAATTCGACGCTCTTCGCAGAAAATGTGGTGTTGCTGACCGTATTGTCGAGTCACTTTCTCGGTGCATGAAATGGGATTCCAAAGGAGGGAAGACGAAATCAGTTTTCCTTAAGACACTAGACGATCGATTTATACTTAAGTCGCTTTCAACCATAGAGACTCAAGCCTTCTTGAAATTTGCACCTGATTACTTCCAGATCATGTCTGAGGCGCTGTTCCATGAACTTCCTTCTGTGATCGCAAAAATGTTTGGTTTTTACCAAGTCATTATCAAGAATCCGGTAACGGGAGTGGAATTCAACTGGTTTCTACTGATTATGGAAAACTTGTTCTACGACCGTACTCCAACTAGGATATTTGACCTCAAGGGTTCTATGCGTAACCGGAAGGTTCAAAGCACCGGAGAAAGAAATGAAGTCCTGCTTGATGAAAATATGGTTGAGTTCATCTACGAGAGCCCACTTTTCACTCGAGAACACTCGAAAAAACTACTTAGCCAAAGCGTCTGGAATGATACGCTATTCCTCGCACGCCAGAATGTCATGGACTACTCTCTCATGATCGCTATAGATGAGAGCAAGCAAGAAATTGTGGTTGGCATTATTGATTGCATCCGAACTTACACTTGGGACAAGAAATTGGAGTCTTGGATTAAAGACCGAGGGTTTGCAGGAGGTGGTAAGAACCGGCCGACAGTGACCAGCCCTAAGGAGTACAAAAGTCGCTTCCGGGAAGCAATGGCTAGATATGTTCTCTACGCCCCTGAGTAAGTTTAGACCTTGGCTGCTCTATCATTTCTAGAGCTGTGCTAACTATATCTCTTAGCTCGTGGCACCAGTTCCATGCTGTCAATCCAAACAAGCAGCCTCCCAAAATCCAAAACGAAACCAAGGATACAATTACCCCACAGAGCAGACTACCAGATGCAGCTGTCCCTCCACCATAATGGCGCTAATACAGTTGTATACCCTTTTGATTACGAATAATGACTTGCGACACTCGTTTACAGATTCTCACTTTTTGGCTTTTTTCTGTATAACAGCACAGAAGCGTTCTGGCACTTCAGATATTCAGACTTTGATATAACACATTTATGGACAATTAAACGACCTTATATCTAGTCTTTCCTGCTAGGTTCGGGAGAACTCTTGGCCATTAATCACCAACAGCCCGTTTGGACATTACTTAACCAATAAGCGGTTAGAAGTGAACATAAGTTAGGTTTCATCAACACCCTCCGCCGCCGCCGCCTCCGCCATCACCACCCCCCCCTCCCGCTCCTCCGCCACCGTCACAGCCGCCCCAACCCCCACCACCGCCATCTCCATGATGCCCATGATGGCCACCCCAGTAGGAGCCACTGCTGTTGTTTCCATAGCCTCCGCCGTCAATGAAGTCACCGTGATTCTTGTACTTTTTCTTAGGATAACCATGAGTTGGTTTTTGATTGTATAACTTAGATTTTCGGGGCGGCGGCTCATAATCACGATCACTGGATGAAAAACACATATTGATCTCGAAACGGCTACCGTTCAAGGCGAATGTCGATAATTAGAGTATTATCAGTGGGTTCAGAGAGCGAAGAGTCGTGCCCTGTTGGAAAATGGCGGGTTTGAATTGGAGTTTGAAGGTATAGAGATTGGTTTGATATTATTAACGGCCTCAGTTTGTCATTTTATGATTTTCTTTTATTGTCGGGAAGTAGAAATTATTTATTAACAAGGACTTTTGGTGCATTATATATATAATTTCTCTACCAAAGTAAATATAGTAGCAAACTTTATTGTTACAACCTAAATAGGTGCCATCAGGCGCTCAAGACTCAGCCGCAGAGTGATTCTCGAAGGATTCCTTCACTGCCTCCTTTGCCTAAATACGAGGTCGCATGGGCGAGGATCGCCCGTCTCCGTTTAAGCCTTTCGTACCGAATCAGCTAGTTCCATTTACGTTTCGTCATTCAAGGCTTGAAGTACATCTGTGGCTGCCTCGCTACAGGAGACCACTGCTGGCAATATTTTCAGCTACCCTAGCCTTTATGTTTCTCGAGGCGGAGTAAGTTGCTTGTCAGCTAGGCCGCGTGAGTGTTGAAAAATGTGATTTTACTTGTCCCCTGATGCTAATATTAAACTCCTAGCAAATAATATAGTATAATGTTGGAGAAAAACGCTTGCTTGAAGGCCTTAATGATGAAACATAAACGCAAGATTGAATGTAGATAGTCATGTAGTATGTTAGAAAATTCATCTGTCGTATCGTCAAAAAGCTACCTATATCCTCAAACTTCGAGTTGTCATAACTTATATCCTATTCTCCAATTTCTTGAAGAGTTTATTAACCCCTTTTTCCATTCGCATTGCACTGTTGCCAAGTTTGCTATACTTGGCAGGTTCATTCCTGTTGGTGGTGGGAGGCTGATCGGACCCCGATGGATTATAGACCTGCTGATGTATGGAATAGTCGCTTGGCCTGGGTTGCTGCTGCTGCTGCTGCGGTTGCTGTTGCTGTTGCTGCTGTGGATAGTTATAGCTATATCCACCAGCAGAGTGCTGGGAAGCCTGGGATTCTCGTCGGGTAAGATGACTATGGTTTTGAGCCAGATGCTGAGTATATTGGTTAACTGGTGGAGGCCCAAAAGTCTGCTGGCCATACAAGTGTGCATTAGGGTCCTGAGGAGGCGGCGCAAAGGTTGAACCATAGCTTCCACGATGGCTAGCCGCAGTAGTTGGAGGAGCTGTCGGAGGGACAGTGGCAGTTGTTGGTAGAGGTCCAAAAGACATACCACCGGGTGGGGGGTGTCCTGGGGTGTATGATTGCTGATTAATACTCGAAGATGCAGGCGAGTATGTCCCCTGGACTCCTGGAACTGTGTAAGGCTGCGGGTTAGAACCGCTAACATTCCCCACACCATGAGGCTGAACAGGTTGGGGGCTCTCGATTTCTCCAGTAGGAGGTGGTGCGAAAGTCATTCCCATGCCCGGGGTGGAAAGTCCTGTGCCTTCGGCAGCATCGGGGGGTGGAGGAGTCGCCTCGCGAGGTTTTATGGGCTCTGGAGCTGGTGGGGCAGCAGGATTATACGCAAGGGGAGCGTACGATGCCGGGGCTTCTTTCTTTTCCTGGGCAGTTGATGCATGAGATGCCGCATCATCTATCGGGCTAACAGGTTGGGTCACAACTTGGACACTGGCGGGAATAACGGGAGGCGTGGGCTGCATGGTTGGATGTGGAGGCGGAGGTGGCGGCGGCGGGATGTTCTTTATGCTATGAACATCAGGCCTTATTTGCTGCTGATGTTGTTGTTGCTGCTGCTGATAACCAGGATCTGATATCGCAACCTTCTCCAGGTTTTGTACCACAGCACTCATTGGAGCTTGCTGGGAAGATGGCTGGATTTGCTGTATATTTTCCAGCTGATTGGGGGCTAGCAACCTTTTAACGGTAGCTAAGAATTGTTTTGCATCGTCCAGAGTCCAGAAATATAGATCAAGCGTATGCAGACGAAAGTATGATATACTTCTATCCACTGGATTCATCCATCCTAAGCGCCATTCATGCTCAGTGCTGACATGAGTTGGAGGAGACACCCCCATACTGTTTCGACATCCATCCACCGTAAGTGTAAAGAGTGTTGGGAAGGTATCAGAAGTTCGTAGGTGGATAGATGACAAAGCTGCAAACAGTTAGAGCTTAACAACACTGCTAAACCCAATCTATATATATATGAAATAGACGACCTACAGCCGTTGAAGGCATCCTGTTCACGGGTCCCAGGATTGTTCGCAATCTCAATTCTGGACCCACCCTGAGTAGGGTTGTGGTAGATATAGAGATAGGAGCCCTTATCGAATCTGTGGTGTGTAGGCTGCGGGGAGGGGGCCGTAAAGTAATAATGAACATCCGAGAACCTGGAATTTCTATCAGCAACAATGTACAGACTTTCAAATGTATCTAAGTCAATTACTTACACGGTCAGAAGCCGTTCTTCGCCTGGGAGGGGGGGCATCTTTAGCACCGTCCTTTAGACAGTTATGTCTATGGAGCAGTTGAACAGCTGGCGGGTGCCGAGAATAAAACCTTCCACTGCACAACTACCAGGCTGTACAGCAAGCCTCCAGGGGAGTAAAAGCCAGAGAAGAGACGCAAAACAAGAGTCTATCTTTTCGTTGCTGGCTGGTTCTCCTCCTTTTTGTTGCCTTCTTATCGTCCCAACTTCTGCGTCGGTTGTACGGAGTATGCGCAGCCCAAATCTCCAACCAATCAGAAGGTGCGACCTAAGCTGCCGGCGCTTAACAGAGTTATTAGTCATGTATTACCAAATAGGTTGATTAGTAATTTCCCGCATTAATTATTATCCGCAGATCTCAAATTTGCCCAAACTGGAAGGGCTCCTTCGCATCTCAAGATTGAAGAACGCGGGAAGAAGAAGAGGAAGAAGAACTAGGAGGGACAGCGACGGCAGCGGGAACAGTGCAACGGTTGATACCCTTGCCAATTGTATATCTACAGTTAGTATTTTGACGTGACACCCACTCATAAGGGTAAAAGACACTAACCTGGTCTCTCTCTAAAAAGTTTTAGGACAGTTGTTGGAGCTGCCTGTTCCATTTCCATCATCCTATATATTGTCTCAACGATACCGGAAGAGGAGTCTGGTTGTTGAAACAAGGGTTCCCTCTTGTTTTAATATTGGCACACATTTCGGAGCTGGCCACGATGTCGCTCGTCAATCTCGCACACGTCTGTTCACATCTTTCAAATGCCAGCAAGGCTCGACTGGCTCTAACGTCCATCCCGAATTCGAATCTTCATCTTGCGCTCTCCAATGCCCTTGTCGAGGCCGGGTTCTTGTCATCTGTCGTTCGAGGAGGACCAACACCACCACCGCAGCACATGTTGCTGAATATACCTGCAGTCAATGACGAATTAGAACCAATCGAACCAGTGACCCAAGCCAATATTGCGTCAAGAAGACTATGGCTGGGCCTCAAGTACTGGCAGAGCCAGCCAGTGCTCTCCAAACTATCAATGGTCAGCAAGCCTACTCGCCGGATATACGTGGATACAGAAGCATTGCGGGACATTGTCAGAGGGTCAAAGAGCCGCACAATCGCTGGGTTGAGGAACCCTGGTGAATGTTTGTTCCTGAGCACAGATTGTGGGATTCTAGAGTCACGGCAGTGCGTGGAGAAGAAAATCGGAGGACTCGTTCTCTGTCGTGCTGTTTAGGTGGGTTGTATCATACGCCATGGTTTCTTTCTGGCATGGGAACGGAGTTGATGGATTGTGTATATAGATCACTTGATCCGCCCTTTCAGTTGAATGTACTATTATCTCTCTCTCTCTCTCTCAAACTGCGCCATGTCTTAATTGTCTTCAGGGAAAGCTACAATGCACTAAGTATGTAACATTGAACTTGACCGCAACTTCTCTGTTCCCAGGTCCCCAACCCCGTCAATAGTTCCTCCATCCAGCCCCAGTTGGTAAGAACACCAAGAGTCATAAGACACTCTGGCCTGACTTTCTCTTCTTACCTGCCGAAATGCCCATTCTTTTACTCCGTATCCCCGTTTTTATGTATCTAGCAGCTTCTGCCAATGGCATTTTTATCGAGTTTATCTTGGCTGCTGATTGGCTGATTTTTCTCCTCCACCCTGAAAGCCAAAAATATGCTCGCGAACCGGCGAGGCAAAAAGGGAAAGCTCGCTCACCCCCAAGCTCGGCGCAAGTCAAGGTGAATGCATTATCTCGATTGCAACGGAGATAAGCACAGGAGCTGCTTCGAGAATGTTCTCCCATCGCGTCCGTTGAGCCAGGTTGAGTGTGACGATTTAATTATCGGCCTCGTATCCCAGCAGAGCGGCCGAGGCTTCCCCACCGCAAAGCGAGCTCCGGCTCTCGCTATATAAAACCCCGGGCGAGGACTTCGACGGAGCCTGCGCTCGCGTGTTGCTGGATTATTCTTCGCAGCCGGTTCCAGGACGGCAGTGTCGGTACCTTGTACTATCCATACCCATACAACATAACTACCGGATAATGTCTCTCTGATGTCGACCTGAACGAAATATTAACCTTCTCCCGCCCACACGCGCACGGCTCAGCAACAGCGAATCTTGACGTGCCTATCTGTGACACTATCAGACTGTGTAGGACGAGAACGAATAAGCCATCTTGGGGTAGAAATGGCGTCCGAAAAGAAAGACATCGATGCGAGCAATGTTGGTTCGACTCGATTGTCGGTGGGAGAGAGTGATGGTGAAAATGCGCCGATTGCAGATATCTTTCAGAATGCGAAAGCTGCTACGGACAAGGAGCGAAAAATGACGCTGCTGCAAGGAATAAGGCTCTATCCGAAGGCACTAGCATGGAGCATTTTGATCTCAACATGCATTGTTATGGAAGGCTACGACATCAGTCTGATAAGCAACTTTTACGCTTTCAGGCAATTCAACCAAAAGTTTGGAGTACGGCTAGAAGATGGAACTTATCAAGTTCCAGCGCCTGTATGTTTGCTAGCAAACCTTCTTGGATACGGATATTTGGAGTCTGGTATACTAATTTTTACTTAGTGGCAAGCTGGTCTCAGCAATGGTGCAGCTGTAGGTGAGATATTCGGCTTATTCCTGAATGGATGGGTCTCGGAACGCTTTGGTTATCGGTGGACAATCCTGGGATCTCTGGCCTGGTTGGCTGCCTTTATATCCCTCTTCTTTACCGCTCAGAACGTACAAACTCTTCTTGCGGGCGAAATCCTCTGTGGCATTCCATGGGGTGTATTCCAGACCCTTACCATCACCTATGCCTCCGAGGTGTGCCCCGTGGCACTACGTGGTTACCTGACAACCTATGTTAACCTCTGCTGGGGACTTGGGCAGCTCATAGGCATAGGAGTAATCCGGTCAATGTTGGATCGAGAAGATGAATGGTCCTTCAGAATACCCTATGCACTACAGTGGATGTGGCCATTACCACTCGCAATTGCAATTTACATGGCCCCAGAATCACCATGGTGGCTAGTCAGGAAGGGTCGCATTGCAGATGCAAAACGCTCGCTTCTCCGGCTGACTAGTCGGAGTGACGAGAGTGATTTCAATGCCGATGAGACCATTGCGATGATGCTTCATACAACAGCTTTAGAGGCTAAAATTACACGTGGAGCCACCTACTGGGACTGTTTTAAGGGAACAGACCTTCGTCGAACGGAAATCGTATGCATGGTCTGGGCTATGCAGAACCTTAGCGGCAACTCCTTTTCGAATTATTCGACCTACTTCCTGGAACAGGCGGGATTGTCCTCATCCCATGCCTACTCGTTTGCTATGGGGCAGTATGCTATTAATATGGTTGGAGTCTTTGGTGCTTGGGGCCTAATGTCCTTCGGGATTGGCCGGAGGACCCTCTACCTTGCTGGTCTATGTGGCCTTTGCGCCATGTTGATGGTTATGGGATTCCTCGGTCTGGTGCCACAGTCACACAGGGACGCGGGATCCCTTGCTACTGGAAGTATGATGATCGTTTGGGCTTTGTTCTATCAGCTTTCTGTTGGCACGGTTACCTATTCGATTGTCTCCGAACTTTCAACACGGAGACTCCAGATCAAGACCATTGTGCTAGGTCGAAACTTATACAACATCGTTGCAATTATATGCAATGTTTTGACCCCTTTTATGCTCAATCCTAGTGCATGGAATTGGGGTAACTATGCCGGTTTCTTCTGGGGAGGCATCTGCTTCTGCTGCATCGTCTACAGTTACTTCCGCCTCCCGGAACCCCAAGGAAGGTCCTTTGCCGAGCTCGACGTCCTATTTGAGCGTGGGATTAGTGCACGGAAGTTTGCTTCTACCGAGGTCGATGTGTTCAGCGAAGAGGTGGCAACCAATGTGATTGACACATATAAAGAGAAAGACTCTGGGAACGTTGAGCCCTAGGGTGTTTTATGGCTAAAAAAATTTTGAACTTTGAAGCTTTGGAGCGTTGGAGCGTTGTTATTTGTCGTTCAATACATATATCCATGTATTCATAATTTATCAAATATATATACACATATATATAATAACGAATGAACGTATTAATATGTCATTATTCTTCCCGTATTGCTCCTGTTATCACTGTATTAGCATACTAGTTGCGGAAGCGAGTCTGCGTCATTTACGGACGACAGCTGGTAGCTTTGAGGAAAGCGTATCTTCCCCCAGGCGGGCTCAAGGTTGATACTGCGGGTATCACCTTCTGAACACTATGTCAAGGATTGGTTTAATATCGCTTAGGGGCTCTTGCTGGCAGTCGTTAAACTATCTTCCAGGTACAAAAACGGTATCAAGATACTACAGTATGAGACAGTAACGTTCCCTCAAGCCACAGCTTATAACCCAGGAACTTCAAGGCCGGTTCTTTGGTGGAGAGACAGCCTAGCAGGTTGAGATACCGCCTGAGCAGGTGAATATCTAAGCTATCAACTTGTTTCTCCAGATATTATTGGGCTTCGCCATCGCCAGATAGTTCATATTCTATGCAGTTGACGCCAACACTCCAGGACATCGCAGATCATCCCGTTTCCCCTCCCAGTGTTGCTTGCATCTCTGACATGTTTTGCCACATAGTTATCAAACTCGTTTAGTTATAGGCAGGTCTAGAATCGACGGGATGAGATGTTATACCGACGATTCTGGGGAGAGATCGTTGTTCGGAGGTTTTCACCCGAGTTAACGTAGACGGCAGCGGGCTGGAACTGATAGTTTTGCTCTCGTGCATTAAGCAGATCTCATTTTCGACACCAATAGTCCTTCTGATCTCCAGGCCATGCCGTGCCTAATATCCTCCTTGCGATCTGGGATTGTGCTTTTGGGCTTCTCGGCACCAGTTTGGCTTACCTACATAGAGAGTTACCGTGGCTCTCTTGCAAGGGCTTCATCTAGTCATGCAGCTAAGTAAGTCTCCAAGCACAGATTTGCCCTACGGAGTACAGGCCGCAACCAAATAATGGTAACCAACGTGGCAATAGATCTGATCCAGGCGTGAAACTCGCTGTTGTCGTTTCTTCGTCGTCGCAGGCTTCCCACGTGACCCATTGAGGGGCTCCTTCTGGGGCCAGAAATCATAGTTAACGACGGACTGGCTGAACGTCAGATTGAAAAAAGGACATCCCTCTCAGCACCATCTCAGTGAATGGCAAAAAAGAACAAATCGGTGTTAGATAAAGATAAATGGTTACAAAAAGCCGAAAGCTGTCGGGTCCCCGCAGGCTCTCCTTTCATGCCTCCTCCCATGGACAGGGCAGGGCGGGCTGAGCCCTGGCGCTGGAATTCAAACCGACATCAAACAGAATGGCTGTGACCTGCAGCTCAGAGTGAGGCGAAAGCAGGACAGCCTGCAGGAAGGATTGATATATATGTGCAGGCAGAGTACCGAGCAGGGAATGCGATCCAACTTGCACCCCCTCCCCCGGCAAAGCTGATCAACGGAGAAGGCTATCCTAGGAGCTCCGATAAAGTGGCCACTGAGAAGAATCAGGCTCTGAAAGCTGCAGGTCCTGCTCTTGTTGGGCTGGAGAACAAGACAGCTAGTTGTCGGCCGAGGTCTGAAGAAGCCCTGAAGAGACGCATTCTTGATCAGAGATGGCAGCGTGTGTCCTCCTGGTGGACAGAGTGAAGGAGACGTTTTGAAAGAACTCTTATTTGCAAGGCGTTGGGGGACCCTGTAACTAGTTAACTAGTTAGTTACAGGACGAGACACAGACACACAAAGTACGCATTATACACGCCGAAAGGCTCAGTCCTAGCATAAAACGGCCAGCCAACCAACAAGAGTCGACAGCAGGTCGTCTGTGAAATGTCTACGTAAATAGCCGGCCAATTCATTACCAGCCACCTTCATGGCCTGCAGGTCCTTCTCGATGTATGTACCTTGGGTCACTTGGAGCCTGGAATCCTAGTTCATCCGATGGCCTATATTATCGCGATTAACTATATCCACGGCTGGATCACAAACCTGGCTGACCATGGCGACGGGAGGACTATTGTATGGAAGAATCAGCCTTAGAAAACATTATTTTATCGTCATAAATCCAAAGCAGAGCTCAGCATCATGACTCTCTTGTACCCAAGCTGCCTCGAGGGAAACTAGCCGCCTGAAATAATCACCCCACAGTCATGCGGGATTGTGATACGAGTCAAACTGCACAACGTCGTTGGACCAATTTGCTCGCACCAACTGCAGTTGTTCAGGCCAGATTTCGTCTTTTTTGCTGACAGGCCACTAGCAGAACGCCAACAGAGCAAGCATATCGCTTGAACGGGACCATGCAGAAGTTGGCTCTGTGCCGGCAAGGAAAAAAACATTGGGCCGCAACGCAACGCGAGTGATGTGGATGTGCGTCAATGCCCAACTTCCCCCCGATGAACAGCATACTAATTCTTTGCACCGATTAGCACCACCCTCGCAGATCCAGGGGTTGCATTGCCGTTCTGATCTAAAATTGGCGGTCCATTGCCTATCTCCCTAACCCCATAGTGGTGACGGACCGAGAAAGTGCCCAATCTCTATAGGCTGTGGGCCTGCCTCGTTCAATGCTTCACTGCATTCATTGACGATGTGCAACCTGGCTTGCGTGCAGATGGGATTCGTCCGGCAGCCAACGGTTTCATGGCCTTCCCTTGCCTTTCTCCATGTTGACTTCTTGTCTCCAAGGGGTTTAAACCTACATAGCAAGGGACAGCTCAACGAGACGGACAGGCGCCCGCATTTAACAAGCTATTTTCACGGCGACCACTAGGAGCTTCCATCTCCCGGTCCATAGGCCCAGAATACAGCGAAGAGAGAAACGGTTTTGTTGAACACGGCATTGGCTGTTCAAAGCGGCCGACCCTCTCCGCCCACACTCTTTGATGCCCAAAAATTGCTCCCTCTGGCTCCCATTTGGCCATGTGATGCTTGTTTCCTTGTTAATTTGCATCCGCCTCCTCGATCGAAATTCAGTCATCGGCTTCCTGAAGACCAGATGGCGCATTCTCGTGGTGCGGGGCGCCATTTTTTGAGTTTGGGTCGTGTCAACTGCAAGGCCCTATTCCGGGATTTATAGGTTCATATAATGCCCATGAAAAGAAAAATAGTGAGACGACAGACGTGTACGTGGAGCCGTTTGCTCGCCTTCTAAGCTATACTGCTCGTAGCTCTGTTTCCCTCCCAGCCGACCACCCAAGCCGCAGGAAAACAATATTAACTAAGGATCTTTACCCGTCATCTCCTTGGAAAGAAAGACATTGACTACTTTTATCCGCTGCTTTACTTACCCCCGATGGCTTGTTGCGCCTCTTCCTGGCCCAACTCCGCGAATTAGCGGTGTGAACATTAAGACTATCTAGATTCAAGCCTTTCCTCTCTTGTGTTTCCTTTTTTCCTTTCCTTTTCTTTGGCTCGGTGCAGGCGTTCGACAATCTATATAGAATTACTTCCCATTCCTTTTTATAGCCCTTGCATGGCTCGCCGGGTTTGGCTTGATAACGTTGCTTGTGTTTCCCTAGAGAATGGCATACCCAGGAAGCATTCCTCTGTCCCCAGGTAGCCTTCGGGAGAATGATTCAATGTTCTATCCCCCAAGGAACAATGCGGCCACATTTCCTTTTCGCAGGTTAGTCCTGGATCTCCCCACTGGAGCCTGGCATCGAGCTTAGCGGAATCAAAGACTTATTCAATTCGAACAGTCCCAGTTTGTTAAACAGAGAGCGCGAAATTCCTTGTTACTCAGACCTACCATGGCCACCAGAGATACGAAACGCAAGGTACGGACCAAGAGAACATTTTATATCACCCGGTATCGTGCGATGAGTGTAGCTAAACATCGGATTATTAATGGAGCTAGAATTTCACCACCATGGGATATTTCGCCCCGAGACCACGGAGAAATGTCTTCCCCAGAAAGACAGCAGCCCGGGCCTGGTAGGCCGCTCGATGTGTTCACAGGTCGAGGTATGGTTACCACTCCACCTACGACGTACGATCGATACTCCACCATCCACCCCCCAATAGCCCTGGAACCAATTGGCGAATTACCGCGACAAAACTCTAGTAACGGTTCGAAAGATCCGTTCATGTCTTATCACAATTCCAGGCTATCTGATCCTGGAATGCCCCTTTCTTTGGAGTCTGATCATTCTATGGGGCGTATGAAGAAGATGAATAACCAGGAACATGTGGACTCCATCCCGAGATTCCACTTGAGGCGAAAGCCCGGGAACAGGGATGAGTTTGACGGACCAACACAACTGCTCAGGATGCCTAGCCCAGGCCCAGCAGCTACTGAAATTCCGGAGAAGGACCTGCCACATCTGCCCACCTCATTGAATGTACAGGAACAAGTGAAAATTTTGTGTGATATCAACGACCGCTTATCCCGGTGCGCTTTTGACTTTGTGGCCAAATACCAGTTCCCAATCCCACTGGAGCCTGAGAAATCAGAAGTAAGAGCCCCAGAGGACCGTGAATGGACTGAATGGGTCCACTTGCTCAGGAGGCTTGCAACTAAGCGCCGCATCCCTGCGCGCGTTTTATATGATGGCCAAATAAAACAGTTCATCACTGTGCTCGAAAACTCCCTAGAGATGCGCCACACAGCAAAGAACCAGTCGCGCCCATTGAGAGATGATCGAAACATCTTGCAACTTATATCTGCCGGAACACAGGTCGCTAAAATACTTAAAGACGCCCCTGCGATGGAATATTTTGATTTCTTGTATTCCCGAACAGAAAGGCAAATTCATGAGCGACGGAATCATACTCCTAGTTTCTTTTAATTGGGCATGCGGCTGATCGTATATTATACGAACATGAATAGTCACTTTTCCCAACTCATTATGACTTTATCCACTTATTCCTCATTTCCATGAAGTATCGCTTTCATGAAAGCCACCTATTGCCCATTTTATGGCAAAAT